ACAGTTGAGGAAGTCGTCATCATATTCGATTCCTTCTCGGTTCAAGGTGTCTTCAATCTTCTTTTTATTCAAGTGCGCAAGGGCTTCGTGAACAGCTTTTAAGCTTACCGTGGCTTTGGAGCTATAGCTTGTGGTCTGCAGACACTTGGGTTCACCTTTGTCGATGTCGAGAATATAAAGTCCTTCTTTACATTCAGCGACTGCCCTACCTTGACCGGTTGAGATCAGGGTCCTCTCAGGATTCATAGAGACTTTGTAGCCACATTCTGTCAATTTGCTGACAGATATCAAATTAGTATTCATGTCCGGGACGTATAGAGCATCTCGAAGTTTGATATTCACCGATTTGTTTCTGCGTCGTACAGTCAGCAATGCAACACCGGATCCGTGTGCTGTCAGGATACTGTTGTTGCCGAGCTTGACTTCTCGAGATGACGGCACAGGGTCGAGATCAGTGAAGAAACTCCGGTCATTGAGAACGTGGTGAGAACTGCCTGAGTCAACAATGAAATGGACTCGGCCATCAGATTTACTTCCCTTTGTTTCTTTAGAGTTTTTCGGTCAGAAAAACTCTTAGCCACGTTCGCCTCAGGTTTTCCTTCTTGTTTGCCTTTCGGTGCTCTCTTCTGAGGTCTTTTCTTGGTGCAGAACCTGGAGGAATGCCCAACTCCGTTGCAAGTCCAGCATCTTAACTCCGTGGTTCTGGAGTAGGACTGCATTCTCCGGGAGTTGGTGAGTTGCCTTTGAAACTGTTGCCTCGATGGTCGCCGTCTTTTCTTAGTTATGTGTGTCCTTGCCATGAGGACGGTCACATCATTCACGTCTCCGTTTTCAGTCTTCTGACGTCGAACCTCATTCTTTATGAGCCCATGAGTGTTTCCAGATCCTGATCAGTGCTTGGCTGGAAGTCCAGGATTGCTTGAAGGAGGACCAGGTATTAGGTAGTGAGCCTACTAACCTTGTCACTAGAACAGATGTGCTCAGTGATTCTCCGACTTCAGTCAGGCCGTAGGTTATGGACTTGTAGCGTTGAATGTTTTCTTGAGCGCTGAGGGATTCGTTGTATTCGTAGTTGAGCCAATTGTCCAGCGCTTGTTGTTTGAATACACCAGTGGAGTGAAGGAAGTGATCCTTGATTTTGGTCCACATGACGACGGCACTGACTGTCTCAGAGTCACCATAGAAGAGTTCGAGTATGATGTTTGGGTTGACGATGTTGAAAAAGCAGTGCGAGCGTTACGGTTTCCAGTGATGTACTTAGCGTTCTTTGTAGCATCTTCATCTGGTACGATCTTCTCGGTGATGACTTCCCACGCGTATGTTTCTGCTTGCATGAGTCCAGGTACAAGAGTCTTCCACGTGAGGTAGTTGGCGCCATCATCTCGGAGGACGAGCGCAGGGTTGAACCGTATCTTCGGGGCATCGTTTCCGTCGACGTTCAGCGTAATCGCTGTAGTCTCTTGCGGTGGCATTCTAGAGTTGAGGTCTATCACTCACCTCGCTGTTGCAGAGCAAACTGAGTCCTTTTAGAGCATCGTGCTGATAACGAATGTTGGCAAAACCCTCTTAGGAGTTGTCCTGTATTGAGCACACTGAGTGGGTTTCAGTCGGCAGGGGCTCAGTTCGGATGAATTGAAGTTGGGTAGCACGGTGATTGGAGCAGCAGCGGAGCGGGTGAAGTCTAGGGAAGCAGGTCTCTAGAAGAACAAGGCAACTGGATGCGGGTGACAGACTGATCTGTGTTTAACACTTTATTTCAGACAGCTTATTTAGGGAGGCAAAGGGCTATTTTAGACAAAAGAACACTGACGATCATTATATCCAATTTCATCCAATTACATCAAACTGCTCTGGTGAAACATAAGCAACGCGGTGATTAACAAGCGTAACCGAAAGAACGCTATTACCAGTGAAATACTTGGAGCAATTAGTCAGTAGCACTCATTTATCCCAACATCTACTGCGGCTAGACTATCGAGTACGGGAGCTCGAATCGGTCACTGACCTACAGGCACTCGATATGCGAAACATTCCTCTCGTAGACGAGGATTTTGCTCGACACATAGCAATGGTCGCGGCTCACACGGTGTCCATCGACGGACGGACCCTGGTCCGCATCCCGAGGATCATCGTCGGTTCTGTGATTGATGGCGGCTTCGCGCGCGCTTCCTGCCTTTTCTGCCCTCGGAGGGAATCCGCACCGCAGGAGCCCACGCCCAGAAATCCCGAAAAACAGGGGAATCGACTTCGTTCTCTGGCAGGTAGCCATTTCAACAACAGACACAGGAACATGCCCCACGATGTAGCGAAGCGCATGAGCGATCTCTCACCGAAGCCGTTGGGTGCAAACCATGACGGGCTGTTTCCCTTGGACACCTTCTTGGAACAGATCCAACTATCTGTCCTGACGCAGGCCGCCCTGCGTATAAAGTACAGCATTGACAACAGGTGTGCCATGTTCCCAATGCTCGCAAATGGCTCAAGAGAGTTCTTGGAGAAAATCCATTATTCCGGGGAGAAAGCCGGCGAGTTCTGGAAGCCGACGAGCGGCCCGAAACGACAGGCTCGAAGCCGTAGCGGTCAATCGACCAGCTCGAAGCGAAGCCGCCGGGAGGCCTTGCCTCGGCTGAACCGACGGATGATGAGACAGAGCAGGCTCCTAGAGACTGATTGCGACGCAGGGAGGAGTCCAAACTCAAGGAGCACTGAGAGCAAAATTTCGAAAAAATTGTGGTTCAGATTTTTCTTTCAAAAAGTTGCGGCTCGCGTCTGAATAAAATATGAAAAAGTAGCGGAACAGAATATTTTCCGAAATTTCCGCAGCGGAAGAAAAAATTCGACGGGAAAGGCGAAGTTACAAGTTTAGTTCTGACTGGCGTGCCATCTCGAGAAACTGTTCGGATATTGATCGGACTCAGAAGTCTTGTTCCTCGATGTTATCTGGAAATTTCTCCTGGGAATTTTACTGCTCAGAATTTTAACTCTGACCAGCAAGTGAACCAGAACGGTAGCTCTGGAATGAATGTTCCGGAGAGCGATATGTCCGAAGCAATAGCTCTGATCATCACTCATTCCGAGAGATCATCACTCACTCCGAGATCGCACATCCTCCGAACTAAGCTTCCAGGTCGAGTCATTTCTGGGACTTGTGCTCTAGTTATGGCTCAACTCAGAATGATTATCCCAGATACTCGATCTCGTAATCGTGATTACAGCTATATGATCCTGGGAGAGATTTCCTGATCATCTATAGTCCTAGAATGGTTATTCAGAAGAATACTGGGCAGCTCCGCGACCAAGGAACGGTGGACCTGCTGCGGGAGGGAGCCGCCCGATCGCGCTCAAGCGTTCAGCAAAGATCATCGAGGTCATTCTCTTCAATCACAACAAGCAACAGATGATTTCGCTTCTGTTTCGCTTTATCTTACGTAATTCTTTTGGATCTCTGGCGTCAATGATAATTGTGTACCATGATAATGACCTCCCCTTTGCGTGCGTCGATTTTTTTCGTACATCAAACCCGTAGCCGAAAATGGGATGACGGCCTCTCGACTCCGTTTCGACTGCACGAGAGTTGTCCGGGCATGGCGTTCCGAATGGTTGGGTATCGCTGAGGCTTCGAGCTGCCGAAAAGGTGGCTGAATGACTTCATTGGTGAAGACTACGGTCCGGAAATCGACCTTCAATAATTTTTATATCAATGTTCTATGTACCGCTTTCGAGGATCTTAAGAGACCGCTCTGAACAAACCCACAGGCATTGCTTTATTCATGCAAATGTGTGGTACGCAGAGGGAAGTGCGCAAGGCGCAATTCCCATCCCAACTCGGCTCTCGGTGAGGCCTGCAACGGAAAATATACCATTCAATCAAAGTGAATAGATCAGTATCCATTCTGGAGTGCTCAAGAATACATTCGATCTTTCCAGACATCGCGGGTCGTGAACATGCGACGGAGATCAGGGAACTCGGAACTCCGAGCCGGGGACTATCCTCAGAGCTAAGCTACCAAGTTGAGTCAATTCTGGGACTTGTGCTCTAGTTATGTCTCAATTCAGAATGATTTTCCCAGATACTTGATCTCCCAAAATAAAATGTATCGGAATGCAGATTGTTGAAAATAGAGAAACATAGATAGCGATGCCTCCGAGTCACCCCGCGAGGACGCATTTTCAATCTCTGGAAGACCGCTCAAACATTCGCCTCGAACCACCTGTCATCGGGACGGAATCATCCGAAATGGATTGAGCCGTCTTCAGGAGACGCTAGCTAGAAGTCAGCTGATCTCGGATTCTCATATCTAACTACATCCGGGTCTCATTGGACCCCGGTTTGCGAAACAGTACGGACTTGAGAATCAGAGCGGCTCCGCATACGCTTGCGCACGACCACAAGTGCCGACAAAGCGCTCGGCTCGTAAGAGCCCAGTGTTTAATTATGGGGACCCATAGTGTACGGGGGTGTGCTCAAGTAGAAGGGGTGCCGGATCGGCGCCTCAACATAGGCTTCCCTTTCTCATAGACAATAGTATGAGAAACAACCTCTCAATCAATAAACACACTGTCTTGTGGAAACTCTACCCGAGTGCTTCTTCGATCCTTCACGAGTGTGGTCGCTGAGCTTCAGATTCGCCTTGGATTGACGCTGAGCGACAGCGGAGACGACCCTACTGCCTTCTACCCTATCTCACTAACCAATCTTGTGTGCCAGTACAAGCTTTTCAATTCCCTGCTCATCATATACTATTCTTGCGCTCTAGCGATAGCCATGCTAAGTTCGTCGCGCAACGATTGCGGCGGCCGCCATGTCACTCCGTCCTGCTGGTTCTCAATGTGATACGAGAACCCATCCTTCGGCGGCAAATACCCATGAAGAATCTCGAAAGGTGCCTTGCCTGTGCTCTTCGCCGGCGATCGATTGATGTGACAGGCCACTTCTTGTAAATGTCTCCCCCAATCCTCCTTCTCTGGGTGTCTGCATAGCGTCCTCAGTAGAGCAGTCACTGTGCGATTCATCCTCTCAGTCTGACCGTTTCCTTGCGGATGCTGCGTCGAGTTCAGAACGTGCTCGACTCCTTTACCCTGGAGGAAGTCCCCGAGCTTCTTCGATGTTGAGGCCGTGCCTCGATCCGATATCAGGACGGCCGGCGCTCCATACTTCATGAACACACCTCCCAAGAACGTAATCACATGTCGAGTTTCGGTTGACTTCACAGCTTCAAGCATCACATACTTCGAAAAACTGTCGACAAGCACTATGATGTGTTCTTTCCCAGAAAACTTCGGCAGTGGTCCCAGATGATCCATCATGAGCTTCTGGAAGGGTCTCTGCGCGGCTGGAACTGGATTACACATTCCTTCTTGGCGTCCTGCCTTTTCCTTCGCATACAAGCACTCTAAGCAACATCTTACACAGCCCGACAGCCAAAATCTAACAGAAAATTGGATACCCGTTTTAGGGTAAATCGGGGTCGCTGATCACGAATCTGGCGTCAGAAAATTCGAAAAAGCTCTAGTTTTCGAGTTTCAACGGATATACCGAAAAAAAATTGGCTCAACAGAAAAGTTGATACCTATTTCGGGGTGAATCGAGGTCGCTGATTCCAAATCCGGCGTCAGAATGTTCGGAAAGGCTCTGGTTTTCGCGAGTTACATTTTTTTACAATTTTTTTCCTTCGATGTATCCGTTGAAACTCGAAGACTAGAGCCTTTTGGAATTTTCTGACGCCGGATTCGTGATCAGCGACCCCGATTTACCCTGAAATGAGTATCCACTTCTCTGTCAGATTTTGGCTGTCGGGCTGTGTTATATGCTGCTCCACGTATTTCTTCATTCCAACAAACCAGTAACGCTCTCTGATCATGTCAAGCGTTTTGCCTGACCAGTCGCGCCCGTTTATTCGCAGCGCTCCAGTGATGAGCTCTGCCATCTGCGTCATCATAGTCTGATCCATCGTCGATTCCGGTGTCGTCGTGCCTCTTATTGAGCTTTTTCCGTGACTATCTCGGTCTCCGTTCGTAGCTGACCTGCACCTCGCGGTCCACTCTACTTCTTCGCTGAACTTCGATCGAGGTCTTCTGTCTTGCGTCTGACGAGCTTAAAGCTGGAGACCCCACTTCTGAAGTGTGAGGACTGATACTTGGGTCCAACTGAAGCTGACGAATGAAGAGATCACGTAATTTACGGTAGCTCGCGCACACTTCGATTTATTCCAAGTTACTCTGTTATGGTTTCGGAATCTCCTCGTTCTCCACGAATTCTTTCCTTCGCCGCTTTTCATAACTTTTTCAAACATCTATTCCCTAATCATCAGTAACAGAGCTCTTCAATCGATGCTCCCCTAGACCGGCTGACCGCCGGATTTCCGCTTCGGACCTGCGCTCAAATTGGACCCATACGCAAATCGACTTGCGCAATCGATGCATGAGTTCAAGATGATGAGAAAGGTTCAATTCTTTCCACTTGCCGGGGACACGGATGGCTGTTTTTATTGACAATGCAGCACGCAGACGTCCCATTATTGTTTCGGTTGCCGATCACACGGGTCTACCTAAGAACCAAAAGGACAACAGAGAAAAAAATCTCTAGATATACGATGACGAACCCCGAGATTAGCCTACGGCGTCCGACCCCCGCCGAGATCCCGCTTCCCACCCCAGCGGAAATCCACGCCGGAGTAGCTCGCCAGAGGATCCAAGCGTCCTCGTTGAGGTTCAGGGTTGCGGCTGTAATATTCCTGATCGCAAGCGGTGCCAAAATCTGGGGCAAATACCCGTATGACGGCATAGAGACGATCGTTAACGTTACGATGTGCGGCAGTGCTCTATTTATTCTCCTCGACGGCTGCGGAGCTCATATTGGACAGAACGTCTCGCGCGATAATTGGACGATAATTAAACGCTGTAAGTTTTCGGAAATCCTGATTTTATTTTTGAAGCATGAAGCAATCAATCAACTTTTCTCGAGAGACTATTTGAGCTCTAGCGTCCAAGACGTATACGAGCATGATGTATATGATGTATACAATATGACATAGCATATGGCCCCCGAGCCCAGAGGGCCAGCGGGCTTCGGCGCACGGAGAACGGACCGGAAGGCTCCGCCAATCCGGAAATGTCACCGACGCGCCCGGCGGCACGGAAAAGGATGATCCAAAGGATGGAAGATCCGAGGATGATTCGAAGGATGAGTTTTGCTGCATGAAGGATCGAATTTTTTCTGCCGGCTGCTCTAGACCTTCTCAAATCGTTTTCACTTCAAAAGGTTGTTCCAAAGAGAGATTCTCCCTCGAATTGTTGACAAGAATGAAATCAGAAAATCAGGGACAATGATCTGAATGTGAGCCAGCGTCCTCGGAATCGTCGCCCGCTCCAAGGGGATTAGAAGACTTCAGATGAAATGCCTAACTTTGCATGCTGGGAAAGCTTCGATACAGAGATTCCCTGATTGAAAGACGCGCTAAGTTTCAGTGCTGAGCTTCTGGGACGCTGAATTCTTCACTCTGGACACATCCGAGAGAGAACACGGGTTACGGGATGTATACCCCAGAAAAAGAGTTTCTACCCCTATCCCGCCAACTCATGTCATCCAGCACCTCCTCATCCAGTACTATCGGGCTCGAAGGATATTTTTCGAAAGCTGCCAGAACTTTCGGCCATTCCCTTGCAAACCTGACCCCGCTAGCTATCTAAATGAGTCAGCTCGCCTTTCGAGGACAGAACAAATCCTGGAGCTACCACGGCCCTACTCGGAGCCGTACGCCACCGGTATGAAATATCCGTGATGTTCACTCACCTATTATAAGAATCATCACATAATACGTAAGTGAGTCTATTTCGCCGGATCTGATACGCACGACAAGGCTGGCGATCGCTGAACAAGAGATACACGACGTACAAATAGAGAGAATGTCCCACAGAACTATTCTCGACGTCCACGTCGTTCTACCCATGCTCCATGCCACCGGGCAGTTGAAAAGGACTCGAAAAGAACAAGGCTACAGACGGTGAGGGCGACGATGTCCGCGTATATGTTTCGGTCATCATGGTATCGTTTCTCTGGTCGTGTACAAATTAGTGCGGTAATCACCAGGATCGCAACTACTGTGTAATACGCCGGCTTCCGGAGCGCCGACTTTCCGATGGCATGGTTCATGGTTCATGGTTTTATTGATCCATATGTTCCCGTGATACTATATCACAGGTTTCATATCCCTTTTATCTCAGGGGCGATTTCTCAGCAGATCGGTCGGGTCTCCTTTTCCCATCGCTCCAGTAGTTCCTTGGTCTTTCGCAGCACTCCACGGTCCAGGAGCTCCTGGAGTCCCAATTTCTTACGGAGTTCCTCTTCATTGAAGTGATGTGGGGTGCATTCTAATAGCACGTGCTGGATAGTTTCCTCCTCCATCCCACACCAACAGCAGTACGGGTGGATGTTTTGGAACTTACTGCGGTATTTCCGAGTCGGCAGCATCCCTGCTCTCGCTAGTGCGAGTAGGGTACTGCCTCTTCTATTGTTATACGTGCCGACTGCGGTCAGTCCTCGTCTCTCTTTATACATATTGTATATCTGTAGGCTTGGTTTCCGGGACATCCCTTCTCTCCATGCCTTGTCCTGCGTTTCCCGGACTTTTAATTTCACTTCCTTGTAAAATTTACTTAGAAGTGGACGTCCTTCGTTAGTGTATACCACGGGTATTTCCCCATCAAGGTATTTTTTACGTAGGATCTTCAAGCGTTTGACTGCCTCGGTGTATGTGTCGGTCAGTGCCATCATTGACAGGATCGCTCTCGGCCATCTATGTGCCTCCATTGAACTTATCCTAGTGAAATATCGGATCCTGCTCTGAGCTTCTCTTGCCTCGAATGATGACCAGCCTATTTCTCCTTGGATGAACTCGTTGGCTACCTTGTATCCCGTAATACCCAGAGCCCATCGACCCGCAGACATCTGCGTCTTTTCGAAGTGAGCATTCAGCGCTCTTTGGTTCCTCGAGGCTAGTACCGCATTGGCGTATGTCAGCGTCGGGACCGCTGTGGCTTTCCATTGGATCTTGGAAACTTCGAATTTATCGAACGTCCATAGGCATTGTGCGTGCATTCTTTGCAACGCCACTTCCGCCTTTTTTCTCAGAAATAGCTCATGTTCATGGAGATAGTTAGGCTTGTCGGACAGAGTTATTCCGAGGTACTTATATTGATCTTGTCTCTCGATCTCTTTCTGTTGTATAAACATAGGAGTCGGTTGTCCCAAATTCTCATCATTGAACACCACAATGGCGCTCTTCGTGGGGTTGAAATTGAGTTGTACTTCTGTACCAAACTCGGATACCACATTTAGGAGAATTTCCATTTCCTCATA